TCACTTTTTGTTCATCTACGCTATCTCTTTCTTGCTTTTAGTTATCTCTTTTCTCACCTTTCGAGTTTTGGGGAGAAGATAGAAGAAGTCGCAACCAGCCGTGTAAATTGTCACGTTCACAAAATTGCTAACAACAATAAAAACCACATCGTTACGCACGCGCGACAATTAGGTTCCAACTAGGTTTTTGAGTATGATCAATATTTATTAACTAGTCTACCCTTACTCCTGACGTATCGTGTCTAGCCTAGTTTATTGTATGGTCTACAACACTAAGCCCTTGGTAGCTTAAGACTTAGCGGATTATGAGAGACGGATAATATACCGAGCGAGCAAAAATTATGCTAAGACTACTAAGATCCGCTATGCTGTTATTATTATTATCTATTTCTGCTGCTATGGTTGTCTTTTGGTTTAACGGAAAATGTGATAGCCGGTTCAAGGCCTTCCCGTAGTATTTTTTTTCATCCGAAACGTCGAGACGTAATTAAAATAATTATTAAATAAGTTTAACTAATATATATCGCATTTAAATAAAACATTTTAACGGTTTAAAACACGATAAATTAGTTAATAAGTTAGTAGTTAGTATTTGGAAATGTTTTTTAACTTCGGCCCGACGTTTCGGATGCTTTGTAGCAGCGTCTCTCTCAGATGTCTCTGGGAGACATCCTCCATCCGTTTTATTTAAATGCGCACTACTCGCGTAAACTACAGATTGTGTTTATTTAAAGAAAATATTCATTTATAAAATGTCCTTAAAAATGTGAATAATAATAAAGTTTAAAAATCGAAAATAAATTGAAAAAATGTTCGACTCGGGCAGGACTTGAACCGGCATCGTCAGCATTCCGTGCTGTTGCTCTACCAATTGAGCTACCGAGTCAAAAAATAATAAAGTTTTCAAAACGATTTCCTATTGATGACCACCATATCATCAGCACCCAAATCTTCAATCCACCTCAGAGACTATTAAATACAAAAAGAAAGTAGACACCTTTAGCATGAAGTCTATACAATTGAAACGTGCTTTTAACATACTCGGGCTTTCGCAAATGCTCTTACATTTTCCACTTCTTCACACTGCTGGAACTCTATAAAAATATCTCAAAAGGTCGTAAGCGAGCGCTTTCACGTTCCATTACATTGTCGCACAAAAGAATCAGCTTCCGGCGTCTTTAATCTAGTATATTGAAACAACGCGACATAGAAATTCAATTTAGTCATATACAGTACAATGAAATGAGAAAGGAAAGTTCTTGGCCTAAGGACTGGAGCAGCGCCAACGCCAATAATCTGAAATCGTTACAGCGCATAGAACAAGTAGGCCCGAGGAATTTTTATTGCCAATGAAAGAATTTGAGGAAGACGGAAATCATTGTTTAGTACTATGAATTAAATAATGAGTCGCAAAGATTGAATTATTAGTTGTAGACTATGAGTTTCAAGGTGTGTACTAAGAAGCACTCATCAGGTACCCTTTGAGAACTAAACGATTAGGATGTAATTCTTAAAGATTTCACTTGCTTTGGAAGATTATTAAAACGTTTTCGAAGGCATTCACCTGCTTCGCCCAAACTGAATGACTAGATTATAGCATTGGCATGGCTCAGTAAGAAAAGGGGGATAGAGTTGTTGTCTGGAATTAAAAATATATTGTCATTTATGGGATCGGTCACTTGTTCTATCCATTGACACCAGAAAGTATTACTGTTTATACATAAAATATTTCCCTTTGTTTATAAAAAATTGTCTGTAGTTAACGCGAGTAGTAAACATTTAAACGTCCTAAGTTATCTTATTTACAATTTATTTGCCAGCAACAACCAAAACATCGAGACGTGGTTAAACACAATAAACTTATATATTTCGTGTTTTAAACTTAAAGATTGTTTCATTTAAATCATTTAAGGTTAGCTTTTTTAAATATATTTGTGCATACTCTATTACTGCCCCTCCTCTTCCAGAATTTATCTAGCTAATAGACACACCGATTCCTCTCCTATAGGCCGTAAGTAGATGTATAAATTGAACTATTTACTACTTCCACCTAAATTGGTCATAAACGAACGATAAGGTACCAGGTGACCCGGTCACTTATATAACAGAATTATGAGGTCACGCGCATGACTAGCGTTGATGCGCAGACGCATGCGAGTGAAACATGCCCTATATTGCGAATCTACAATGACGAGATGCGGCTATTTATAGAGGAAATTGCTAGTGTGCCTAACAAGACTAATTTCTTTGTTGTTTTATTGGCGAAGACGCTACTTTTCTGAATTAAAAGATCTTATTAACTTTGAGCTTGACGGACACCAACGGGTCTAATTGTAGCAATATTTGGTTTTGGTTTCAATCTGAGTTCAGGTTTCCGAATATCCAAAGCCGAAATAGGTCGATGGCTCATCTTGTTTAGATCTTATATGGTGTGGGGTGTTCCACACACTTAATATGAAGGTAACCCCATGCTCGTCTGTTCTCCTCTATCATAAAAAAAGCTGGTGCATAGAAGTATCGCTGTCGTATTATCAGTTCTGACTAAAAAAAAGCTTTCAAACTATATAGGGGTACATCTTTACTTGTATATCATGAGAGTTAGATCTAAACTTGCAACTGCTGACGGAAAATAATGCATAGCACAACTGCAAATACTTATTTCTTGTTTGATCTGAGATTGTAGAAAAGCGATGCATATGTGTAGTAGGTACCGATCGTGCATCAAAATACTTATAATGAACTCCTGCCGCGTACGAGCGACAAAAATAGAAGCACTTCCTACAGGATCACATTCAACTTTCATTGTGGATATAGGAGAGCGGTTGGCTCCAATTAACTTCACGGAATATTTGTCTTCGCTATTTTTAGATGGATCTTTGAAGATGGCGTTGTCGTTTAGGAGCCCATAGATAGTATGAAATGCTTAATAATTCTGATTTTTTCAAATGTTAGTTGTGCAAAAGAGAAAAGCATAAAACACATTACTAAGTTTTTTTAGGTAATAAAACGATTGTACTATAAATTTACATTTTACGTGGGTTGCACTCGATGGAAGGTACCCCAGACGTTTAATGTCTAAATAAGATGCATTGTTAACATTATCATATTCTGGAATTTAATAGATATCGTTTTAGATACTGTCTGAAGTTTACGCGACTACACTTTAACAATTTTAAACGCGATATATATAAGTAAAACTTATTTGAAAATTATTTTAACTACAGCCCGACTTTTCGGATACTTTACAGCAGCCATGGTCACGGCTTTGTGTGTTTTTAAACTATTGTACTACTGAAAATGTATATGTGTCCCGCATACAAGTCCCTGCAGTCGTAAGTAACGGAAGGAATTCTTATAAAATGCACCGAGACATTCCATAAATAGTCTTTGCTCTAATTCAATTTGTCACCAACCATCGTTAAATATTCAAATGGAATGCGAGATTCCATCGCGTCGGTTGCGACGTTTGCAATTCTAATGCCAGTTTCGTTTCGATTCATTTTCTATAAATCTAGATGATCTATAGCACCGAGCTTTGCTTCGACCTCCCAGGTGGTGTATTGATGACAAGCCATGTTCTTTCCAGTAACTTAGGGACCAATTTTACATTAACTTGCAAGTAAAGTCTAGTCCACTTTTTGAATTGTTTGGAGATTTTTGGATGATACCTGTGTTTGAATTTCCGGGACACATAATCTGCTTCAGTCGAGTACAACACGAAACTTGATATAAAAACAGTCAGTGATTGACGAGAATTTGTCAGTTCCATGGCCCGCATATGAAAACGGGATTTGTAACAAACTACATTCGTTTAACATTCAAGTCTATAAGCACGGAAGACTGATCGACTACCGACATATAGAGAAAACCAATCCGTAAAGCACACACACAATTGTGTCTGCCTCATTTCGATTGACGGGATATTACATTACATATTTTACATACATTCTTAGTAATATATATGTTAGTACCAAAATAGATTAAAAATCGAAAATAATTTTTGAAGAAAATTCGACTCGGGCGGGAAATTTTTGCTGTAACCAATTGAGCGATCTCACATTTTCGATTTTTAGTCTATAATATACTGCCATACCAAATGTTCAAATTAAATGTTCATTTTATCAAACTTTTCCATCAGCTCAAACGCATATAAATAAAATTCCAATAAACATTAGCAAAACATAGTCATGCGGATATCTTTTCATCGATAAGCTTATCGTATCAGGTGCACCGTTAGTCCTTGTATCGAGCGCTAATGGCTCCATAGTGAGTTGCGAATATTTTCTCTCTCGGAGTATCGGAGTCCATTCATCATAATGCTAATGGGTTCACGCTTCGGTAGAGAACAGAACGTACGTTTTTAATCGATCATTACTGAATCGAGACAGTGAAAGTTGCTGTTATTTAATTCGTCTTACCTTTCGACGTGATGTTGATCGTTGCAATTTATTTATTCCCACTGCTGGACACAAGTGTCTTATCGAGTGGGGGAGAGAGTTTTAAAGAGCTTAGACCCACCGTGCTGTTTAGTGCTGGTCTAGTAGTCGGTGGGTTTTAACGACTATCGCCAGTTAATCAGTGATGACAACCGGTACCGTCTTTAGGTGCTTTTTAAAGCTCAAGGACGCGTACACCTCTTGTTTACCAGGAGTCAAAACACAACCAAGAGATTACTTCAATATTATATGGTTACAATATTCTCATCCTATAAGGAAATGTTTTTTACTTTTTTTACATAAATGTCTGAAGGCAAGTAGTTGATTAGACTTGTGTCCTGCCTGACAAACAAAAAAAAATCTATCATTATCCAGGGATTCGAACTCAGAACTTCTCGACATTACGACAATGCTTGGCAACACGTTTAACCGTTTAGCTACAAAGGCGGTCGAAAATTGGCCTAATACAATTCACTGCACCATGAAACAGTCTAATTCTAGTTTTACTTATAAAAATTATTGGCCCTATTTGTGTAGCTAATTCAAGTGTTAAATTGTCCACAGGTAGAAGAGCGCAAACGCGCGATATGGGAGGCGTCTATATCGCGACGGGAAGCGCTTCTTCAGCGCGAACGCGACCGCACCGAGCGACTGGAGCGCGCGCGAGCGGCTCGTTCGGCGCCTCGGCCCGCGTTCGCCTTCGGTTCCTCGACGCCGAGGCTGCTGGAGCCCGTGGATTCGGCAGGGTTCTTTTGGGCCGCGCGCAGGTAACTATTGTCCTAGCATTGTCTTGACAAGGTTTAAACTTAGCGTTCGGATATAGGAATCGAAAATGATTGATTTAGTAAAGGTCAAATTTTAACGTATTACGTTTTGTGTAAAGCTTGTTGAGAGAGATGTATAAGTTTTTAGATAGTTAAATTGTCATAGGCTTGGAATTGAGCATATAGGGTATAGTACATTACTGCAGCGGACGGCAATAGAGGCCATGATGGACGAACGTGTGAATGTGGGCCGAGTGCGAATCCGAGGCGCACCATAAATCCATCAATGCTTATTTGCATTACTTTTCTCAAATAATACACGGAAATTAAAACTTAGTAATACAATTCAGAACTGATGATGACGAAGTTGACGAACAACTAATAATGATAGTTTTTCATTCGCCAAAATTATTTTTTTTTTACTAAACTGCTCTCTACTATACAGCCAGTTCGAAATTTCAATTAAACCTTTGATAAGTTACCATGCCTCTTTGGTGGCCATGTTGCGGACTAGAAGGTCATTCCATTTTTGAATTACACGACAAATAAGATTTTCATACAACTATTGCCGGCCGCTGCTCGACCAATACAGCAACTTCGTTTTACCTCGAAGAAAGTTGACAAAATAATGCTTAAATTTCTAAGCATGTTTGGGAAACTATGTAGAACTATTTTTTACCTTAAATTTACGATTTCTGTTACTAGCCTGTTGTAAGTAGGTTTTCCGCCAGTGTAGGAAGCACTATTTTGCTCGTTAGAGTCACTATCATAGTAAATTAGAATTTTATAAAGCTATAAATGAATATACCATTTAATGCTGGTTAAAATCCATAGACTGGACTACATTTGCTCCTGACAATGAGTTTACTTTTACCATGGTAGTCCTTAAAGCCTATGCTATATTTATCGATAGCTTAACTACTAGATAATGCCAGAAACGTTTTTAATAAATCAAAAGACTATTTTCCGCTTGGCTTTTTATTTTTCTTTAAGAAGTCGTTTCAGTGCTCATGGTTGTGGGTCCCACCACTGCAGTGATTAAATACAACGAGTCACATGTTTTTTTGTTTACTTTGCACTAATTGTTATTTGTTTTTCTCCACCAGTACCAACCCCATAGATCAGATGAACTTTTTTGAGTCACTGTAAGCAACATTTTTATTTTTTCTTTTGTTATGTTGTTGTGTTTTCGTTTGGTGTCTTTAACAACACACAAGTTCAGTATTAACATAAAATTACGATTTTTATTTTTATAACAATCACTGTAGACAGTAGATACAATAATTTCTTAGTGTTGTTTGCATATTTTGCATGAGTTGTGATGTAGTGCATGGATGTATGCTATTGAGTAGATGTTAGTAATTATTTATAAATATTTTAAAGGGATTATCCATAGAAAACTAATTAAAAATTGTTTAAGTAGTTCGTTTATATGTATTTAAGACGCGATTAAAAGTATTTAAGACACTGACTATACCACATTTAACAAAAGCAGTTTTAATTTTACATGGCAACTATTGTAATTCTATTCTGAATTAATATCATACTCATTAACTAAACCTTATCTATTACAAATGAAGCATTAACTGGTATCAACTCTCTAATTAAACTATAGGCAGGATATAAACTGTTACGCACACAAACGGAATTGCTAATTGGCAGACTATAATAACACTTACTCACACACTGACACAAATTCCGACTTGAATTATTAACTGCAAATAACTATCTTCGATAAATACTGTCGCTACCGAAATTTTCCGTTAATATAATAAAGATATGAACAATCTTATCGACTTGATGTACTTATATATTTATAATATTATACTTAAAAACTAAGTGTTAATATTGCTAAGATTATAACTTTTCGAGTTGTAATAGTTACAAGTAGCCTAACACAAATGTTTATGTTCCCAGGATTAGACCCTACGACCTGCCTTTTCCCCACTTAAACATCTTGCAAATTTTCTGAGAAAAGATATCAGCGAACAAATAGATAGGCTATGTGTTCTCTTATTTGTTTGCCAAGTGCATGCTTCGGGGTAATTGTAAAACAGGCTTCTGCGATTACTGGACCTTGATTTAACATAAATTAGGGTTTTATTTAAAATAAAAATGTTTAAAAGTGCATTATAGGTATTCGTAGATTTTAGTATTGAAAAAGGTTATAGCGAAAGTCTCCTGTTATTGTTTACCCAATGATAGTAAATTAAATATTTTAGATATCGGGGCAAACTCTTCTTTGTGTGGCAAAGAACAACCAGTTCCTTCTACATCGATACAGACACATTTATGTGTCTCTTTACTTTGTTATAAAAAGTCACATATCTACATTTTTACCGTGGTACCTTTATGATTTTCTATAAAAATCTATTTATAAAAATTCTCTCGGTACTAAACAATATGAGTTAGTTTTTGTTTAGTCTATGACACGGTGGCTCCCAGAACCCAGAAAAACATACAGTCCGTTGAAAAAGTGATAACTATGAAGTCACGACGCGCTTATCGCATTCGTGATTAGATAAGATGGATCGATATTGATTTCTCGCAATCGCTTTTCACATACAACGCAATATCTCGCCCGTTGTGAAACAGAGTACATATTCTACATAAGATTTATAAAAAATCTACTATAAGCAAGAACAAACTTTCAAATTGTGGAGGCTGTCGCGGCCATTTTGCAAAATTTCTTCGTCAGTCGTCGCTTAGTCGAAGAACGCGCAATATCTAATAATCAACCACTTGTGATGTCGAGACATCGAGAACAATTTCTTGATTACGACGGTCGAACTGGATAACTCACGAAGCCTAATAAGAAGCTTTCTTAAGCGATTATAAAATTACTATAAAATGTTGTTTAGCTAATTTAGAGATATAGAATTAAAACGTTTCTTAATACAAAAGCGATGAATATCTATTAATACTTGTATATCCCATTTTTCTCTTTAAAACTTTTTCAGTTAAATGATGTCTACTTAGAACTTAGGTTTTGGACGCAATTTTATTGCAACCTATATACAGCGAATAATTATAATGGCAAGATCTTGAAACAGCTCTATCGCACCATAACCATTTACATAATCTCTTTTGTGATGTACTGTCGAAATGGGGCATTCAAAAATTTGCCACGTCAATTTGGGCTATTGTTTCACGGTGACAATGCCGCGGATATTACGGAGGAAGGAAAGTGACGTTAGATTAAAACGTTTGGTAATTACATTTTTTACTTTGTTGCCTCTTATAAGGCCATGAATTACTTTTATAGGTAATATGTTGAACTACGATTCGCGTGAATTATCGTAGACTCAAAGTTCCATCGCTTAGAAAAGTTTTTTACTTTTCACAAACACACTATTCGTTTCTATTCGATTTTTCTAGTACCCTTTATATTTATACCTATAATTACCGTTAAAATAAAACGGGTTTATTTAAATAAATAAAGTTCTAATTAACACTTATAAAACAATCGGAAGAGGCGATAGCTGATTTTATGTTCGTACTGACAATTTACTTATACATTGAGAGGGCGACAATTTTAATTACAATTACGAAGAGACCAATAAAAATACTAAATAATTTTCATACAAACAGATGACGAATATTAAAACAGAAATAACGCTTCATCGCTCAATACAGACCGAATTTAATCTTTGATTGCATTACATTTGCTATCTAAAGCATGACAATAAACACTTATCGACTTAAGTATACAATTCTTTTTGACTCAAAATATATGCAAAAGAAGTGAATATTTGTCCTTGTGGCGCCTCGAATGCATGACAGCTTGGCCAATATTTAACCACTAGTTTTATTGTTGATTAAACGTTGATGTAATCTGTAGTTAGTTTGTATGCTGTATTTACATATTAAAATAAGTTTTTCTTAAACAGGCGTTCGTTAAGATATATGATAACTATATTACTTACATTAAAAATATGTTCCTTGGTCCGTATTTTAGTAAATGTGCTTGTTGTATAACTATGTACAATTGTGATGGATCTAAAGAAATATCAAAGAAGTGGTTCGTGTCTGTCCATTTTTTATTAATTAAGGTTGTAAATGTGAATGTTGTTGGTGTTGGGTTGTCTTTTACGCTATGTCATTCACGCTTTTTCAAGATATTAGATTTAAAAAAAATAAAGACACTTGCATTTTTTTTAATACGCGATTAAAAGTACAATGCTAAATTTACAGGTAACCTCATTACGTAAACCATAGCGATAGCTTAGTTAAATTTTGCAATAAATACACAAAGACAGCAAGGTGTGAATATTTCATGATAGGATAGATGGGACTTTCAAATAATTTACCACACCGCTGAATATTGTCTTTAAATTGTGCTACTGAAATTTCAGGGCCGCATCAACGACAAATGTGATGTACGCGTCTGCGCCTCTCACACGACGGGCCTCAGCACTTCAGCTTGACTCGTCCGACACTGATAACAAAGGTAATGGCATTCGATATATTCATAATCGATTTATACAATAGCATAATCGATTGGTGAATACAAACATACAATTTCATGTTGTACTTATCCGTCGTTCCTGAATTCTTAATAATGATCTGATTTATCACGTCCATTTTGCACTAATTGTAAAAAAATATTGTATTATTGGTGATGGTTGTTTACTTAAAAATGTTTTCTCGAGATAGCAACAAAGTAGGTAACATTACGTCGCTATTCCTTTAGCTATTCAGCCATTCGGACAACTCAGTTTGCTTAATTTTTCGTATAGCCAGCATTTATTTTTACGTGATTTTCCAACAAATATGAAATTATATAATTACTTAAGTAATTTTAAATTGAATTAATTTCACTTTTAGATAATCTTTACTGTTTAAAAGTCACGTTTATACTTTTCTTCGCTCAATGTTGCCTGTGTTTTTTGTTGCTTTAATTCTGTAAATGTATAAATATATGCACTATGTAATGGAGTTGTATACTGTTTCTGAATGTAAGTATTTTTTGTGCTGCTAAGGATTAATGTTTTCGAGTTTTCGTAAGTATTAAAAATGTGTAAATATAGGAAATAAAAAATATATTTTTAAAATCAAGTAAATCTCCTCTCTACATAATCTATAATTGGATTAAAAGGATTATGCTAATTTATTTTGTTTGACCGTTTTATTTATACTTCTAATGTACAAGGCTTGTTTTAAGTAAATATTTGTATTAGTGTTTCATACTATTTATATAGTTCTTCTGGCCTTCCTAAAGTTGTGTAATAATTTTTTTTTACATGTTATTGCAAATGATGGCTCTACATAAATTAAGAATCAATTATAAATTGAAAAAAATTTAGGACTCGGGCAGGACTCAAACTGGCATCTACAGCGTTCCGCGCTGTTGCTCTAAATCGATAGCTCAATTGGTTAAAACAACAGCTCGGAACGGTTCAAGTGTTGCCCGAGTTGTATTTTTTTTTTCAATTTATAATCAATTTTTAATTTTCTTTTTGTTCACATATATATAAATTCAATCTACTAAATTCTATTGCGAGGCCCTTGCAGCACTCTATATATGTACCATCTTCCGCACTTCCAGACGAAGCCGACCGTTCGCCCCAAAGCGTGATGTGGTCCTCGGTGGCTCGCCGGCGCACCGACCTCGTACCGACGGTACCGGCCCCTCGCGCGCCAGGTAGGGCGTATTCCATGACGCGGCTGGACAAGCTGCCCCCGACCCGGCCCATACACTCGGCGTCGCCCTCCATGCACCATCTCAACAGGACTCGTATGTACCAGGCTGGCTTTGCCCGGAGGTCCCTTGCGCTGTGCTAATTGCGGGTCGCGCTACGGTTCACTTGTGGCTAATGCTGGTTGCCTTCGCCTGTCCGTCTAGTTGAGAGCAAGTTGCGTTGAACTACAGTTTTTAGAGTACGTGATGTAGAATATGGCGTGTTTTGCATTTCTTTGAAAAAGTTTTTTGTCTACGTACAACTAAAAGAGAGAAGTTCTGATAATCATTTTTGTTACTTGCCTATATTATATATATTAAATCTATATTTGTTAACGAAATTATTATATTAGATATTGCATAAAGATTAAAAACACACACTACGTTACAGTTGATATTCAAGACATTACGTATATAGGTTATACAATATTTAGTTCCACTTTATAATTTTTTAAACATCGTTATCAAGATTTCGTAATCAATGATTTTACAAATACTTAAAGCTAAAGACTTAAATGAGTATCAGAGAAAGAAGTGTTATTTTGGGTCTTATAATTTTACTTGCGATGTGACTTGCTCGTGACTAGAATCTACTCCAACCCCCGAGTAAGCTAACTCGCACTCGTTAACGTCTACGCAGAATATTTATATGGAAAACTGACAGCTTATGATAGTTTCAAAAACACCCGCTAGGGGCGCTGTGAGATTTTTCATACAAATATTTTACATAGACCCCAGCGTGTATTGCATTACTCAACCAATTATGGCTATGGGCTTTTTCGCTAGGAATTATGTGGCCTTCTAAGACCATCATGTTTATACTAAGACTGGCTTTTCCAGGGTTTGAATGTTATTTGCCACATATAGTCCTGTATTTCTCTTGTCCTGAGTGTAATTGAGTGATTTATTGCTATTGTAAGTTGCTTGATCCCTTTTGGAAAATATATTATATGAATTTGAACCCCAGTGTGGTTTTTAGCTTGCTTTGAATTTCCTTGTCCAATGTTTAGTTACGAATTCGGAATATTAAATGATTATCGTTTAGACTTAAAAATCATATTTCTTTTGATAATTACGTGGACCTGTTATGTTTGTCAGTTGTCTCGTCTGGTTTTCCTGAAATAATAGAAAATCGTTTTACTAGTGTAAAAATGTATTTCCTAATGATCAGTTGTTTTTGTTCTGCAAAGTCATAGTCCACATGCAATAATCCTAAAACGTATAAATACAGTTTATCAAGCTTTTCTCCCTGGTTGTCAATTCATGGGTAAATTTGTATTGCGAGAATTTGTTAATCTTGTTGTTGCTGAGGCCCACTCAGTCTATTAGTACAAAAAAGTCCAGAAAGGTCCACATTAAAACAGGTAAATGTCTCAATATGATGTTATCTAAAGCTCACGTTTGAAATCGTTAGATTTTCGTTATCAATAACTGATAAATAGATTTGATGATAAGAGATATACTAAATGCCGATCTTAAATAGTTTGTACCTATGGACATGAATAAATGTAATAAGGGTCATTGTAAATGTATATACTATATTTCCGTGTACAAATCTCTGTTGGTTATTTACAATCTGCTAAATACTGTCTTTATTTTACGCAGGATTTTACCTTTAAATAAAACACTTGACGGGTTAAACTAATAATTTTAACTTGTATATATCGCGTTTTAAACTGTTAAAGTTATTTAAAATACAATCTGCTAGATAAATAGTAATGTTGTAATTTTAAGTAAATAGGAGTGACTATTACCTAGTTCATTCTGCCAGGCCAAGGAAACAATATAATAAATTAGTATATATAATATATACACAGGGACACTTCTGCCTCTTAACTATAATAAAAATAGCAAGCCGGCTTTGTATTTGTTTAAAGATATCTTATACACTACGTCGTACTATTAAATTTTCCTCGCTTTTATCCTTTTTAAATGAGCTTTAAATAACAACATACAAATCTCTCTTCGGGAAGAAGGTAATTCACTATGTTCTAACCATCATCGCACTTAACCTGACGCACCAAGCCTTCGCTAAAACACCACGATAACCGTAATGTATACGTTTTATAATATTATGCAATTTTTTCACCAATATTTATCTATTACTTTGTCCAAAGGACTTTTTTAGTTGAACCTTTTAAGAACTCGGGACATGATACGATATTTATTTGTGAAAATATGTTGCGACGCTAAGTTGATTAAGTAAGCGAGCTGAAGAATATACGAGTGTGCATCATTTAAGTTTGTTAGTCAAGCCTTTTGTAAGGTAACAAATATTGTGCCGTTTAAGAAGTGCACCAGATACAATTGTAGGATATGGAAAATCCCAAGTTTATAAAATTAATAGAACAACAAAAAGTACTATATGAATTATTTAGATTGTAGGAAATTAATTGACACAGGCATTGAACCCTCTACCATAGCGTTTCGTGCTGTTTTGCTGTGCGTTTTAGCTTCCCTAGCTTGTCAGAGAAGAAAACTAGACATTTTTCACTGTATTCATTTTTTTTTACTTATTTACCATTTTTGAATGAGAACATTCAAAGAAAATGATATTTTGTTTTATCTCGACATTTCTATCACATTAGTTTCTCCATATTACACTTGTGCCATTGCAATCATAAAATATGCCCTCGTAGACGGGCATATTTATTCATTCTATAAATAACTATATTATTATTGCCTATTCTCTTTCTTTCTTTTTCTTAAACCCACCGCCACATTATCCAGAGACACGGTCCGGTGAGACGACGCCAGGTTCTCGGCCAGGCAGCGCGATGTCCAACGCCACGGGCGTGGTCCGACGCGCCACTTCCGCTCCGAGGAAGCCGAGACCGGCCTCAATAGCTGGCACTGGCTGCAACACACCGCGAGGTGAGAATCAAATGGGCTAATGATTGGCATTCTGATGATGACGCCCGCTCACATGGCGAAACGTCGAGAACCTCATCTGCTACGTCTGTGAACACCCCGAAAAACAATGAATGCTGCAACGATGGCCGTGAAAGCCTTAAACAATTTATAAGCTGCTGTATAGTCTTTCATAGTACGAGTACAAGTAGTACATATTTAAATAAATCATTTCTAACAATTTAAAACGCAAAATATATGCCGCTGTGACCACGAGATAAATGTTGTTTTAATCTGCTTAACTCAGCAGTGACTACATTTACCTTATCTAGCGTAGCTAATACGCGAATTAAGATTTCTTACATATATCCATATAATTAGTACAAACTTTAAGGTACGAGATGTGGTTACAGGTGAATCGGGTGGTCTGAGTGCGACGAGCACTCCGGCGGTGTCCCGCGACGGGTCGATGGTGGCTAGGCCGGCCACCACCCCGCGGCGACCACGGCCGCTCTCTTTGCACGTCACTTCCAAACCTGGTCAGTATTTTATTATTCCTCTTAGTTTTGTTATTTGCGCGAAGCTCAAACAATTGAATATGGTAGCATTGTGGCAGTTTAACGGGCTATTTGTGTAATGGTAGATGTATGCATATCGCGGATCGTATCCACACTTTTTAAGCATTCAAAAATTTTCTAAATAGTTTGGACTTCGTCCGAAAAGCTGGATATTAATGGTAGTAGGAATATCGAATTCGTCCGGGTTCGCATCACTGTCCACAGAACCCGTGTTTCGGTTTTAGTCTAGATTTCCAATAACCAAAGCCAAAATAGGTCGACAACACTCCCGTTTAGATGTTATATGGGTGCCGTTCCATCATAAAAACTATGTATCCGTTATATAAAGAATATGTGTTAGTGATTTAGAAATTAAATATCCTGAATGAATATAAGTATGCAATATGTATTATTTTGTTGTTTAAATATTAATGTATAACAAAATAAATATTTCAGCCGTCCCACTAGGTCCCGGAGAGGGAAAGCCGCCCGTTCACAGGAAGCCAAAGCCAGCCAAAGATCAAGAAAAGGTAGAAAAACTGTCTACTAATTTACTACTGTCCTATATACTACTATTTTGGCCTGAAAATTGGTTTCTCACCTTATAATAAAATAATTATTTCAGAGTCGCGGTAAATCTCTGTCGGCGTCGCCGGGTCGCACGTTGTCTCCTTCGCCCGCACACACCAAAGAGCCCAGTGTCGACAAAGATATGTCTAAAGTAAGTTTCTATGACATATCTTCCAATACGTGAAGCGAGGAAGGACACTACATTCTTTACTCGTGTCATATAAATAGGTCTACACACATTTATGTGTACTAATATTGTAAAGCTGAAGAGTTTGTTTGAACGGGCTAATATCAGGAAGTACATAGTAGGTTCAAATTGAAAATGTATTTTTGTGTTGGTTGGACCATTTTTAGACTGAGGCCATAAATAAATTTATATTGATTACCCTTTAAAATTATCTTTCAAGGTTAACTTACAAGAACTGTTGTTGTGTTCATCAAATTTCGTCGAAATACTTCATATGGCATAACAACGGTCGGCTAATGAACTCATGTAAATAAACGAAAACACACCGTTCTAGTTAAATGCAATGCAAAGTTACGCCGTTTACTGCTGATTTACAGAAGCGGTCGAATTGGTCTTATACCCTAACGAATTGAAAGCACACTAGCGCCACATAGCGTCGTAAAATATTCTAGTACTATTATAGTCGTAGCAGATTTGAGTTTGACATCAGTGACGCACTACATCAATAGTCCTTCCTTTATTTAAAACGACTCGTAGAGATAAGTTACGTTAAACACGCTTTGTCTCACATAAAATTACGTATTACTACGTGGAAGTTCAGAAAAATAGTGTTAATATAGTAGATTAAAGACTTTAATTTGTTTTCTAGTCAATGACAATCGAGAGGCACGTGGACGCCGAAGAGGTGACTCAGAAATTGGAGGCACTGAGAGTCGGAGACAACAAGCCGCAACAAGAACATCTACATGTTAATATCTCTTATTAAAACTTTCTTCTGATTAAAAATATATTAAAATACTCGCATTCAAGTATATTTAAAATTGTCAATTTGTGGCAAAGGTCATGTATTTTGACAGTTCATGAGGAGGTCGTAATAGTTTATCTAAAGCGTTGATGGCGTTTTTTATACATGTATTCTAAAGCTAATTATTATTTAAAAAAAATACCATTTTTTTTCAGACAAACGAAAATAAAGAGAACATAGAAGCCAATATAGAAACGAATGTAGAAAATAACGTTGTAGAAGAGAACAGAACAGAAGTCAAAACCGAAGTACACAAAGTAGAGCAAAGAGAAGGGCAGAAGGTTGAGCGAGAAGTGCAGAAGGTGGAGCCGAAGAAGGAGGCGTCCGTTGAAAAGACTGAGGAGAATGAAATGACTGGTGAGTAGAAAAGTGTTTTATTATTTATTAAAAATGAAAAATGGATTTTTAAATTGTTAGCGAAATTGATTAAAGCAACAGGCACTGAACATTGTGAATGCCGGTTGAAGTTCCACCTGTGACGTATTTTTTAAAATCTAATATCGATTTTTAATCATTGCGAATCATTAATGATTGTAAACAATATTTCGCCATTATTTAAAACATCGATAACCATACCTAAATGAGCATCATATATTTAAAATAAAAAGTAACTTGTAAATGTAACTGGCTTGTATGCGCTAACGTATCTTACCTTTACAGCCTCTATGATATCTCGTCGTATAACGACAGAGGAGGAGGCAAAGGCCGCCCTAGCTGAGCGAAGGCGACGTGCCCGCGAGGAGCTAGAACGACAGGCCGAACTAGAGAGGCTTAGGTAAGCTCTTATGTGTCGATTACCTTCTTTTTGTTAAAAGTTACCTCTATCTTTCATCTACGTGTGCATACAGGTGCAAAGGGAGTTAATAATATAATAATACATAGTCAAGAACCAATGTATAAAGCATATGTTTGTAAGCAGTTATGGAATAACGGTTTATATTATTGTGTGGTTTGCTTTGACAAATAAAATATCTAAATAACTCTGTATGGGATAAGTTTCAAACGTTAAGTTACATACTGTACCGAGATTTGTTCGTGCCATGCCTCACCGAGGGAAACGGCATTTCACTTTTCTTTTTTTTTCAATAGGATAATTAGTAATAATATATTTATTATCTCCAGACTTCAGCGTGAAGCTGAAGAAGAAGCTGAACGGCAACGTCAAGAAGAGGAGCGGCAACGTCGTGAAGAGGAGGAGGCAAAGGAACTTGCTGCGCTGCAGAGGAGACTGCAAGAAGAAAAGCTACAGAAGGCTATCGAGGTAATTAATAAGGACGATATTGCTTTTTCATAGTTGCAAGTGCCAATAATGATTTTTTAGATTCATCACAATCGACAAAAAACGTGACATACATGTTACTAAGACTATCAGTAGTAGTTAGTAGCTGCCCTATTATTATAATGCGTTGTATAGTCTAGGTTGTTATCGTATTAAAAAGCTGGTTACTCTAATTTGTCCATTCTAGGCCCAACAACAGCTCGAGCGTGAAGAAGCCGAGAGGAAAGCTCGAGAAGAATTAGATAAGCAAGCGCGTCTCCGAGAGGAAGTAGAGAAGAGACTTGCAGCGGAGGAGGCAGACAGGAATCGGCGCGAGGAGTTAGATAGAGAAGAGAAGGAGCGTCTCGCGAGGAAACAGCGTGTAGAAGCTATAATGGCTAGGACTAGGCTCAAGAAGGTAATTGTTTTATAGACTTAAGACTGGCTTTGGCTCCTCTGAAAAAAACCGAATAGCCTTAATGTAGTAATTGTCCTTTTGTAATTTTTTGTCAAGATAAGGACAACTAATAAGATAAGTCTAAATTAACATTATGGTTTACCAGTTTTATTAAATTGATTCATTACAAAGTATTACACAACAGTTTGTTTTAAATTTCAGCAAGCGGAAGAAGACAAAAAGAAACAAGAGCACGAACAAAAACCCCCAGTCAATCAAAACGCTGAAACACAAAACAACCAGCAACCAGCACAAGCAGAGACTAAACAACCAGAAGCGTTAACCCAAGATACAACAGACTCTAAGCCAGTTGTAGAAGTTAAACCAGAGAACGCAACGGAAACAAATGTTACGGAAAGCGTAACGGAAACGAAAGTCACAGAAAGTGTAAGCGTGGTGGATTCCGAAACAATACAAGTCGCAGAACCTGTTATTTCGGAATTGATTAATGTCGCACCTGTCCAGAAGAGTGTAAATGTAGCAGAATTAGCCCAGGATAGCGTAAAGGCAGCTGAGGTGACGGATAATGGAAATGTACAAACTGGGGATTTACTGTCGCTAGGAACTAGTCAGGTAATACAATTTTTGTATATATTTCGGTTTTATAGTATATTTATTTTTCGCTTTGAAGACATTTCTATTTTACATGTAGATACTAGAAATCACTTACATGAGAATCTTATTACTTAAATTAAAAATTCATTGGAACTCATCATGCGAACCTTAAATACGGTAACATCTGACCGATAACACAAGATTTAATGTTTTATTTATTTTATTTAACTTTTTTACAATTACATTTATTTTAAACGCTTTGTTATTAGTTTTATTTTTTATTTATTTAATTTAGGAGAAGGTAAGTAAAGTTGAAGACTGAAGTTGAAGCTCTTACAATTTTTTATGTATTAAGGGCAACTACCTTATAATAAACTTAATAGGTTTTATTAAAATATTTGTTAGCTGTGGGCAGATGTTAGCAGTGGTAGTAGTAAATTAAGTAAAATTCAACATGAAACCATTAATATTACGATTTTATTTTCAGCCGGAAGGTAATGGAGTGAGTGAGTCTGCGCCCGCGCCGGTATGGGAAATGAATTCCGTGAACAACGGCAACCTCACTGGCGATTTGCTGGGCCTGTCTGATAACAAGCATGTTAGTGTTCTATATTAGTGCAAAGATCTGGAATGATTTAAGTCGAAATTAAGTTTCTATCGTTATGGAAACTTTGGTTTTGTTGATTATCGTTATGTTAAAAATGTTCATATGCCATAATGTATAAAGTTGAAGACTGGTTTTTGGACGCGCTAATCTCAGGAACTACTGGTTCGAATTGAACCGTTTATCGGGACTATCGGGGGCGACGAAACAGTGGGAAATGTCCAATAAACGGGAAATATATCCGTCTTTGAAGGTATCCGTTGCGTGCGCCGCGAAAGCGGTTCATGATACGCAAAAAATATGTACCTACACTATATTTTTCAACTTGCAAGAACGACGAAACGCGAACGACGTTGTAGATGACAGTTATACCCCCTGTATATTATTATTATATAAAATATTAACAGTTTTTTGCAAAAACAAATTTTAATGCCCGAAATAACTATTCTACGCAGACGAAGTTGCTGGTACGGCTAGTTTATTGTAATCTGTCTAGACTTCTTTTGTGCTTTATGAATGCGTGTTCCAATATTTGTTTTCAAGAAAACCGATATTTTTACTTTAAAAAAAATTTAAATGATTTTTTTCATGTTTTTCCAGAGTCAAGACACAACCGAGGAACAAAGCGTTAAGCAAATAGACAACGCCAACATGGAGACCAACAATGGCAACGTGACTAACGTCGGGCACATCTCGGCAAACTTCCTCCACACGGAGCGGATGTCCGAACACAACCAGAAAGATTTGCCGGACGAGTTCGCCACGCACAACGGGCACGGTATCGCGCACCCGTTGACGTTGCAAAACGCGATCTAAATCCATAGGGACAAGGTCTGAATTCGCATGGTCGGGTGTGCGTATTGGCTAGCGTTGGCCCAAGTTGGTAACGGTGGTTTCAAAGAAAGATTCACATATAATTGATCATGAAATTAAGGTTATGATTTTCGCCATTCTATGGTTCACAACTGTGCCTTTAGTTACATTGTCGACGGTATCAAGATATTTTGGAACGTAATCCTAGCCGATATGTACGCGTCGATGGGTAACGAAATATATACGAGACGGCACATGTAATATTCTATGTAATTATTGCATTTATAAAGCAAATCCAAGATTCTATTAAGAACAATAATATATTAATAGCTTATTTTGCTATTTTAAGCGAAACCATAATCACAGCTTGACGTTCCTCGTTTAGAAAATTTAAAAATATTTTCATATCGGAGTAAAATTTTAGATCACTAGGGATTAACGGGATAAATTGTCGTTTTATTACTGATTGCATTAATATGGATTAATTCGTTGGATAGGTTGTGTATAGGAGAGCTGTGCTTACAGTGTATACAATAATTATAAGTTTTTTATTTATTGTGATTTTTTATTATTAAAATTTATAATCAAATATTTTGTTCGTTGCCTCGTTCGGTGGTTGTATAGACGCGCTTTGTTTCGACTTGTCACACATTCGGTTGATTCTTTTTCAGCTCTCGATCGCGGGGGATCTATATGCGCGAGAGCGATGCAAATAGCCCGATGTTTATATGCGAGCGAGATAGAAGTGTTGAGGATCCTGTGCGTTTGTCTGAAACTGCACCTGTACCGGGGTTACACTTAGGTTTCATCCTTGATGTTCATTAGCATTTCGGTGTATCTTGTCTAGAACTCCTTTGTATCATTGAAATCAAATAACTTGATCGAATAACTGATATTTAGTTCCGATGTCATAGATGTTAATTCTAAAATTTAGTCAACTACACTAATGCCATCTCTCATGATGCTATTTAAAAATTACCAGTAAATATTAACGGTGTTTTATTAGATCAAACTTGTTAGTTATTTCGTTTCATTGACTACTATTGTAAACTAGATTTACTGTAACCTTTCAAATGTCCTAATACTTTCGAGGTCCCTAACTTATAACACTAATGTAATAGTTCAAATTAACTATTCAAGATGAGTTAACATATAATGAAATGAATAGTCTAAACAAACTACAGTGGAGTGAAATTAAGAAATTTGAAAGGAAGTTGCGACGCGATCCGTTAATCGGGTTTGTTAACTATTAAGTAATTTACATGCATAAACAATTTTGTATAATAATAAGTAGTTAGCGTTCTATGAAATTTAATCAATTCTTTTCTGTTTTTAAATACGATTATTCCTTTCGTAACACTAATTTGCGCTTTATTTATGTATCGATTTGATAACTCAACTGTCAAAATTGACAAATTGTGTCGCTCTACCTGTCTGTGGACAATTTTGACAGCTGACACACTAAACGCCCAAAAACCTTGGATAATATTAAAAATATTTATGTATTAGTAGTTGTAATAAATTGTAATAATAATTACTATTAGCTATGAACATAATCTACACGTTGTGTGTAAATTCCCTTTTTCATTTCGTTGTTTTGTTTATGACAAGTTTGGGTTTGGGTTATGATTTTTTGTCAAGGATTTTGAAGCGCAAGTTTGTCATAGACAATATAAACCATTTTCTTGCTTGTAATCCTAAAATTTTTGCTAATCGTCCATTTTTACCGGTTTCCTTCGGAACTTTATCATGTAGTCTGTATACGACGGCCTTATTAATTTTATTAGCTATTTTTGGTAGCGACGTGCCGTACCGTTATTTTGTCTATGCATTAACCTACTGCTTATAAATAATATAGAACCTTTGAGTTAAAATACTTATTCTAAAATTTTCCTAAAAAAGCTAATTCTAAATAGTGTTTTTAAAAATCCCAATTTGAACAAGTAACATATCATTTTGTATGAATCGAGTTAAGATAGCTGGGATGCTACAGCTTTTTGATCGTTTATGTTTCAAGAGGGCGTGGTCGTAAACCTTTTGAAACTCTTGCGCACCAAAATGACGGTATGGCTCGAGGCTTAGTGATGGTTGTCGGAATTAGTGTATTTATCACGCGAGACACGGCTTCTGTATATGTTCATCTATATTATGTTAGCAATCGATGGATTTATAAGAAGAAAAGTTTAATAAAAAATATTTAAAATTATTTATTTTTATTTATCATGACTAGTGTATCTAGATTTTTGATGAATTCTTGTGTCGGGAATTCCTTATTTCCAACAAAAGTTAAGCGTATTTGGAATGTTTGCTACAATCCTAAGTGAGAATCAATACCTTATAATTGAATTTAATGACAAAGTAATTATTTAAATAAAACACTTAAACGGGTTAAAACGCGATATATTAGTTAAACTTAATTGAAAATGATTTTTAATTTCGGCCCGACGTTTCGGATGCTTTGTAGCAGCCGTGGTCACGGGGAGAGTAAAGATGGAGGGGTGTCTCTGACGTTAAAGTAAAAAATTTGCTACGCTAGCGCCATCTGTTCCGTCGAAGTTGGTATTTGGCGAAACTGGCCGGATCCTTACTTAATTGACTAACGGTGTCTTCGCGTTTGCCGGTATGCTGTTTATTGGGATTCAGAGTTTTTAATATATCCCAGGTGTTTCATATAATATGTGCAATACATCATTGCACTATATGAATCGAATCGATAGCTCATTAGATTATAGCAAACAAAAGGCCGAGTCGTAATTTAAATTTATTATCGATTTTTAATTCATAAAGTAATTCTTTTACCTGAGACGGTGAACTTTTGTAAAATGAAACGAAATTCAAATTGACAACTGCGTTTATTTAATTTGATTACAATTTGACATTTTGTCCAGCCTTTACAAAATGTTTAACTTCAATTTTGATAAGATACACAGAGAATAAAATATTAAAGGAGGTGATATACAAATATGTTTTTTTTTTAAGGAAAAGAGTGCTATAAGAGTTCTGTTTTACTCTTTTGGCAAAATACGTATTTTTACTTATTAAAAATGATTGGAAGAAATGAAATAAAGGAACTAATATGAGTGTAGAGACTAACAACTGTTTTGCCTTTTAAACATGAACTTGAAATAACAAGACTATTTAGGAATCTTATAATAAATCTTATATTACATTATATAGATTTTGTTTGTCACACATCGTGTTTAAAGCATAAACTCTAAAAACAATAACTACACAATAATTATTAATCTTTACAATGTTTTACAATTCCCTTACAAATATAGAAATAGTACAATACTTTGGGACAGTATCTAAGTTAAGATTTTGTCAACGCTAAAATAAGCCTATTGTAATAATTGGCGAGAGCGTAGCTTAAAAGTAGGATATGTTTAATCATTTTCTTAATTGGGGACCACTTCGCTGCTTGTGTCTGAAACAAAAAACATGGTTTATAGAAAAAAAATCACTTTTTAACCGTTTAAAACCCGAAATGTATTAGTTAAACTTGTTAACTATTTTATACGGCCCGGCGTTTCGCATGCTTTATAGCAACTGTGTGGATGGTCCCCCGTAGTAAACAAGCAGTGTAAGTAAGTATAACTAATACATTTCTCGTCTCAAAACTTTCAATTGATGGAAGGTGATGCCCTAGCCATTGAATGATATCTATCTTAAGCTTCTGGGCTGTTGCCTAATTAGGTGTTGAATTCTTAGACTATTTAATAATTATCGAATCATTAGTATTTAATAATTAAATTAAAATATAGTAAATATTAATTTTGGTTACCTAAAAGAATTTACTAGTACAACGTAACAAGTACTTATTATAGTTTAATCACCCAGTAATCAATCTTACCGTCATCTGTCCATTTCTTGCCTCGCATCCCTATGAAACCGGTCTGCGCCTTTCGCTTCGGCCACGGGCCGTCTAGCAAAAACTTAATCTCCTTCGGGCTAGCAAATTTGACGTCTTTCTTCCCGCGCACGCCGATGAAGCCCCGCGGCCTATTCTCGCGTTTCTGCATAAACCTTTTGCCTCTCACACCGTAGAAGGCGCGTTTGCCTTCATCTGTCACCTCGTTAGATTCGATACTCTGCAGTTTCTCAAGGTAATCGTTGATCGCTTCACTCATGTCGTCGTGGATTCCATCGGGGTAAACATCGATGTACTTTTTCCCGCGCATTCCCACGACACCCATTGGGGCTCGTTTGTACGGCCAAAAGTCTGGATATTCAAAGCCACGCTTCCCCTTGACACCGACGAAGAAGTTTGGTCTTCGCTTGAACATTTCCGTGTCCCGGGCTTCCAGGTACTTCTTGCCTCGCATCCCGAAGAAGCCGTGGGGTGCTCGCTTGACCACCTCCTGGGCGGCTAAAGCGTGTACCAGTTGGATGATGACTATGAGAACGTACGTCCGATACGAAGCCATTTTCATCTGAAAGAATAGGGAAATCATTTTTATTTGAATTCGTAAATTTCATATAGAAAAGTCTCTAGAAAATTCCATATATATCTAGTGTGTATTAGTAACTTACACATTTCTAACCAGATATTTCCGTGTAGTTTAATTTTTTTACTCAGTAGCTTATTTTAAAACAATTACACCTTTCCGCTAGAATAGTTATTTATGGCATAAAAAATGGCGATTTAGAAAACCTCATCCTTAAAAAAAATCCGCGTCCCCTCGTTTTTGCAAGTTAATGTTAAAAGATAACAGATACTGTTCCCACCACATTCTCCACTGTATTTTCCCTTCTATTGGTCGCATCCTGATGTTTAATAGCTAAAAGCCTTCCTCGATAAATGCTTTAACTAACACAAAAACTAAATTTTCAATTCGAACCAGTTAGTTCCTCTAATTAGCGTGGTCAAACAAACAAACTCTTCAGCTATTAGTATAGATATATTTAGTATTTAAGCTATATTATATGTTTAGCTTCGCCACCTTAGGTCAACAATGGCAGTGTCAGTTACAATGTAGCTCCCTGGAGCACAGATGACAAATTCACTTCGGCCCATGAGTAAATATTACCTACGTTAATTATTGCTGACAGAATAACGTATTTCCAGCACTATGTAACTAATAACTTGGGCTTGCGTTTCATTGTATACTTATCGTTTTCATAATTACTGCATTATGGCTAATGTATTGAAAATTAATAATGATATATTTTTTTGTATTGACTGCCATCGAAATTTGTGGATTTGTATGCTTGTATTTTATGTTTCAGAATCGTTGAAAATATAACAATGGGTTTGCTACAAACTGATTAAATGCAAGTAGGTACATGTATGCATTTGCTCCTCTCAATTATTATAATATAACAAATTCTAAACTCTATTAAATTTGTTATATTATATAACAAACAATAGAAAAATAAAACAGTGAAAATAATCTCTTAACGCGAGGCACAAGAAAATTGTTGCCAAAAGCTGTTGTCTTTGACGGATGCAATTAACCTTTTTTCACAAGCCCGCTACAAGCTTTTTGTTATTCATTATTTATATACGCGGCTAATTTCATTAAGTACGAGAGAAAAACAGGTAGAACTATAGATGAAAGTACAATGTTTTTTTGCTATTTCTCTCAAAATATTCTTAATAAGAATTGGGTCTACAATTTTCGTTATTATTTTCAATTTGGTAAAATGTATATAATTCATATAATATTTATATATAATAACTACAAATATTGACAATTCATGCAATAGAATAAAAATCTACGAATTACGTGATAGAATTGGTGAATACGCGATACTCTTTTATTTTCTATCGGGGACACCTGTTGTAGGCCGGGTGATCAGTCCATTTTGTCAGCAGACTATTTCACCCAGCGATACACTCTACTAAGCATAAAAAGGCGAAATCCTCGACATCAGAGTACGTTGATACGGCTTATGAGCGGAAGAAACATGTGCAAACTAAATATTTAACGAAGTGAAGTGTCTATAGTTACTCAACTTTTTCAGATTTGTTGTATTTTTCCGAATTAAGCCGTGCAAATCTATTTCCGAATGTCTAAAACAGTGCATCTTGCTTATGAGTCTCTGTTATAAAAATATCTTGGACATTTTTGGTACTAACTTAAAACTTTTCATCACAATTTATCTTGATATTTTATGTACAGACAAATATAGCGTTCTATATAGATTTTAATCTATATCTATCTAAGATATAGATTATAAGCATAAGGTTTATTTTGGAATTAGTAAGCCGGCCCTTTTTTCGGGGGGGGGGGGGCCCCCCCCCCTTTTTTTAAAGTACAGACAAATAAATAAAATCGCAGAAGGTCTCGACATATAACTATCGGTTACACGATAATGGTAGCAAATAAACCTTACTAATCATCCAAAGAATACAAGCCTAATAGCAAAAACGCTACCTAAAGCCGTATAAACTCATCGATGTGTTATCCAATTCTGTTATAGACTTATGTATATAGTGAAACGAAGTGTTAAAATAGATTCATCTACACTCAAAGTCCCAATAAAGTTGTCAGGTCCGGTTAAAAAGACGTAGAGCTCCATTTGCGAGGGTCGGGAACTGCGGTATTACTCCGAATCTGCAGTTGCCATTATGGGCTAAGTGCTCCGCGATATATTGCATTTGATACTGCGTCCTCTACGAATGTTTTTGTTTTTAAAACGCTCCCTGGCGCAAAATCGTTTCAGTCCATTTTACTTTTCTAAATAAAGACATTAAAGGACCGTTTTAAAGGCTAAATGTGAAATCCCGTTTCCCTCGTGGGGTATGGGACGAACACATCACTGTGTCTGTTTCACGATCGGTTTTAGAAACAGACAAGTAGTTAAGCACTCAATGGCTTACACTAAAAATGAATAATTATTCTACAGTAAAGTTTCTGCTAAACTTTTTGAAATAAGAGTGGGATTGCCAACTAAGTAGTTCTCATTCTTAATGGCTCGGGTAGAATACAAATTAAAAATTAACTCTTGACCGCTCCTCAATAACCAAACTTAGCACTTTGTGCGAACATTTTTTTTCTATAAGATTGAAGAATTGAAAATCGAAATTAATCTAAAAATATACGTTACAATATTTCAACATATCTAACTCGTTGTATGAAATTAAAAAGAGTAAAAATGTTCATACAAAATGCTAAGCTAAACGATAGCTCACCTAGAAACGCGAATACTGCATTGTTGCTTGCTCTATAATATGTAAATCTGAATAAGCAAAGTTTAAATAGAAAAGTTACGCACGTAATATCAAGTGCTTTGTGATCATGTTAAAAGTAGAGCTTAATAAGTAAGTAATTATAAGGAATAGTGGAGATTTAGTCCCACTTTTTGATACGGATATTTTGTGAAAAAGAAATAGATGCACCAGAATAATATTTACTCAGTTATATAAAAAACATATGTGTCATTGATTAATGCGCAGGCCTACGCTCATGTTAAACCTCTGTCCCAGCCGTGGGAACAATTGAAGCGCTGATATAAAAAAATTAAAAATTTAAAAGCTTCATGATCCGGGTATTTTGTTATAAAGAGTAAAATTTAATACATTAATATTTTTTACGTATTGCACGTGATGGCATTATATAGATTAAAAATCGAAAATTAATTGAAAAAAATTGTGGCTCGGGCAAAACTTGAACCGGCATCGTCAGCTTTCCGTGCTGCTGCTCTAAAAAATTGAGCTACCGAGTCACTCGACCCGACTCTTGACTCCCGACTTTGATTTTTAATGTATAAAGTGTAAAAAATTAATTTCACTTATAAACATTACTTAGTCTTAGCACGAATTAGAAAGTTTAATGTACATGTTTTATTTATAAGATCAGTGATGGCGCTAGTTCATTTCATCGCTATTTCAAATCAATTATATTCAACAAATGATGTATGAAACAAACATTTCGCTTTATTACACACCTTTAATTATCTCAATTTTCACATGTCCCCAGCTGAAGCGAATGTTCTCGATAATTAGCGGATAACTTTTATTTTTCGCTTTATTTTCCTCTCTAACGATGAACAAGGGAGTTTTAAAGCAACATCGTGGAAATTACTTGGGAGATACAAGAAATATTTAATGTACTATTAGACAATAAAGTTTCTGGGAAAAATATATTAATTGTGTAGATTAGAAAGAATTGAGATTGATTTTTTGTTAAATGCTGTTGCCGCGACTTCGGCTATCGAAAAGAGTAAACATACAATGTTGCGAATTTTTTTTACATCGTTTAAAGAGGAATCATTCTTTCATACATATTTTTTGGATATCTTGAACCGCTTTCGCAGTGCACGCAACAGAAAGTCACAAAAATTAAAAATGTAACCCGTTCGTACGACATTTCTTCGCCCCTTCTTAGGTTGCAGTAGGATGCTTAGCCTAAAAAGGCCTTTCTCTACAAATGCACTAACTAACACGAAAAGGATTCCATTAACAATACAAACGAGTAGTTCCTGAGATTTGCGCGTTCAAACAAACAAACAAACTCTTCAGCTTTATTATAATAGTATAGATTATGTAGTAATTTAAAATGCCATAGACTGAGTCAAAATTTAATATAAATATCGTTGAATAATTAATCTTTAATACCACTGCTTGACAATGCTCTCTTTAATTAGACTTTCCACGCTATTTCCCGCGCCGGATGTCAAATTTATATTGTATACAGAAAAATTAACACTTTAAATATTTTCTTAATTTTAGTAAATGTACAGAGAAATTACTTTTCTTAAGAGAAATTACTTTGCTTAAACAAAGCAAAGGTTTATTTTTATGATAGAGGAGGAGAAAAGCCCTAGTCATATAACATCTAACACGATGAGATGTCGATCTATTTTGGCTTTGGATATTTAAAATCCATAGACTAAAACCAAAACGCGATTTAACTTAACGGTTTCTTCATCTGTGGACGGTGGTTCGTGAGTCAGACGGAATTTTATTCCTACCACCCGTTTAATATCCAGATTTCCAAACGGCGTCCTACACGTTTCGAAATTAGAAATGTATCCCAAACATGCTAGGCCTGTAGATGTTGATTATTAGCGATAAATTCCTACCATTAAGTCAAAAAGCCTGTCAAATCGAATCCGGTATAAAGATACATTTTAAAGATACATAACAATTTAAAACATTAAGTTGTTAGTGCTAGCTTAACAAAACGCTTTGTAACTGCGTACATTCCATAGAGATAAAAGTTTGTGTTCTGCTAAAATGGTATTATTTACGTTTCAGTTATGCAAACTCGAAGTCAGTTTACGATTCATTTATCTCTCGGAAGGCAAAATTATAAAACATTTTTCTTTATAAAATTTTGTAGCATCAGTTAACGTACAGTTTAATTTAAAATCTAATTACAATAAGCTTATTACAAAGCTTACTTTAAAGATGAATTACGCAAATTTTTGCATTTTATGACAGCCTCGTTGGTGTAATGTGTAAGCCTAGCATTTTTCT